ATTTTATATTAGAATGGAGGATTTTGCCTCCCTCAAGAATATTATAATCTTAACATATTGTTGGAGGCTCCGTTGCTTTTGCATAAACACAGACTGTGTTTTCCCTTCCCTATGGTAGGCAGTTTTTCAAATGGACTGTAACTGGAGCTTCTCCGTTTGCATTGGGAGTCCTCTCAGGTTCACATCCAGAAAACCTAATAAAAATGTGAGCCGCAAACAACTGGGTGGACGGAATAAAAAGAAGTTGTTTGGTGAGAGTTTTGCAGCACAGTTTATGAGACTGCCGCGGGCAGAAGGCCTTACGATCGCTCAGACGAGAGTTTGCTTCTGCTCCCCTGACCAGCCATTCCCGAGGGTTCAATGACCATTAATCCCTCGTGCAAAAGTGTCCTATGTGCAAGTCAGAACATCTTTCCATGTTGGCCTCATGGAGGTTAGGGTGCATTTCTATAAGATCCCCTTTTATCTGAACTTGGTGTGATATGAAACTGTTTAAAGTTACAATAAACAGAACCCAAACGAAGCAAGCCAAAGAGTGGATGTCTCCCCGAGTGCACACTGTAAATCTGTCATTTTGCCAACATCTGGACAGAAAAAAATTCCACATTTGTTAACTAAAATATGTGTGAGAAGTCAGGGGGAATTTTTCCTTCCTATGATTTTCCATTGTTCTAGTTTATTGGATGAATATTTTCAATTGAATAAATGGGTCTGGGCTGGGGGATGAGACATGTGTCGTCTCTGTTCCTGTTGGCGTTGGGCATCCCGGTGTCTTGACTGATTCACACGGCTTGGGAGGCCTGGTCCCGGAGCTGTTTATGAGAGCTGCCTGTCAGTGTCTCTTCCTACCTCACTTGCAGTGGCCTCACGCTGGTCGCTAGAAATTGGCCGTGAAGGAGCATTTGCATATAGAAATTGGCAGATCCTGCGACTCAAGTTTCCTCTCCCCACGCCCAGCGCTGAGTGCGGAATGTTTGAGCTCCCTAGTGCTCGTGCCTGTCAGTTCTCAGCGCCTCAAATTCTAGGCGACAGGTGACAACTGTTGGACACGGTCACTGTCCGGAAAGCTGATCTGGTGCTTCACAGACCGATGCGGATGATTGCCCAAAGCTGGCCGTGGCTACTGCCACAGCCCCTGCCACCACTCAGCTGAGATCGTAGCTGTTCCCATGTGTGAGTGTGCCTGTGTGTTTTTGTATGTAGGAGCTTGTGTGTGCAGTCATGCAACGACCTGTGCATCTTTACATGTACATGTGTCTCTAAGCATGTATATATGTGTATACATGTCTATACATGCATGTCTCTGTGCATCTATCTGTAGGTCTCTGTGCATTCACATATGTTCCTTTGCACATATTTGTGCTCCTGCGTACCTGTGGGTATGCACATTTGCCTGTGTGTATCTGTGTGCAGGCACATATATGCATGGCTATGCGTACGTGCACATGTGTACACCTACATATGCATGGGTGTACACCTGTGCATGCATGCAGGTATGCCCTGCCTGTGGGTATAGATGTGTCTGTGAGTGCTGTGTGTGCCCATGTGTGTGCACGTATGTGTGCCCAGAGCCCAACATGCAGTGAGAGATGAGGAATGATATTCTCTAGGATATGCAGATCTGGGGTAACTCCCCAGATCTCTTCCCTTGTCTATTATTCCTTCTTTACCACTCAAATTAATATGTAGGAAACTTCAATAAGGAAAACATGTCCAGTTGGGTGGCTGGTGGGAGTAAGGAAGGATGAGACGAATGTGGACGGTTTGCCTGGAAATGCCAGAGAGTCTGAGGACTGGCTCTGGTGTCAGATCCTCTGAGCTTCTGTAGGATCTTTCACGGGGCCTCTACCTTCTGACCAGTGAAAATGTAGTCTGACCTCAAGATCAGTTTGTCTGGCTTGTAGTTTTTGTCTAGCCTCTGCAGCCATTGCTCGACTCTTAGGGGTGGAGGCCTGAATCACCAAGCAAAGTTAAAATGTGGGCTGGAGCCCTGGCTTCCTCTTTGTGCCCTGAGGCTGGCCTGGGCTGGACCTGACACGTGCTCATGGTTTGCCTGCCCTGATCACTGCTGCACAGGCTTTATACACAATGGCCCCTGTAAACCTCACAGGGACCTACCAAGCCAGGCCTCTTGGGAGTCTGAGGTCCCAAGAAGAAAAGTAACTTGCCCCAAATCTCATGGCCAGCAAGTGGCAGAGACAGAGTGGGAGGCCTCAGTTCCAGGCTCACAGCTAAATTCTATTCAAGGACAGAAGGGAATTTCCAGTTTACTTGGGAGTTTTTGTCCTCTTCAGCGTGGATCTCTCTTCAACCATCAATGAATCCAATTGGGCAGGCAGGAATCCTACCTCCCAGGAAAAGGCCAGGGTTGGCATGGAATGCATTACATGTGGGGCCTGCTCGCTCTGGGGCCTTTGACACCAGCCCCAGCTCCTGCCTGAACTTGTGGCACCCAGGAGCCGGTCCCTGGTGCAGACTCAACAGGTTAGCGGTGGGGGACAGTGTCCTTCTGCTGACCCAGGCCCTTGCTCCACTCTAGGGGAAGTAAAGCCACGAGGGTGAGAGGTGTGCCCAGGGTAGGGTGCTGGACTTCAGCTCAGCTGGGCCAGCTCCGGCCTGTCCTGTTCTCCTCCTGCCATCTGAGGGTGCAGACTGTGCTCTGCTGCTGGGTGGAGGTGGGTGCATGGGGGGCCCTTCACAGGGGACAGGAGGTAATGGCCATGACCACCGGGAAACACTGCACCAAGAATCGAGGAACAGGTCAGAAAAGATCTAAAAATATCCCGCGGGCACATTAGGGCTGCAGATACCATGTAGGTGTGAAGGGATGAGGAGAAGGAAGGCAGGTAACCGCTGGGCCGGGCTCTTTGCACCACCAAGACCTTGACCTCACAGAACATCATGGAGCTGGAGGAAGATTGTTTCTTAACCTCTGAGGTGATGCTGTGTGCAAAGCGGGTGCTCAAAGTGTATGCTAGTGGCTGAATAAATCAGCACAGAGACGACACCAGCAGTGCCGAGGCCTCGCCTTTTGGGCTGTCTTGGTTGGCTTCTTTGTCCAGAGTGTGCATCTTGATCAGACAAGCCCGGAACGTTCTTCCACTGAGCCGCTTGCTGGTTCTAGTGAGGCTGTCATCTCAGTGCACGGCAGTGAGCAAAGGGAATGTGCTTGAATGCTACAAGTTTATGAATTTCATAGAGTTTGACTTTTAACAGGTGCCTAGGGCTAACTCCACACCTTCCTCCCGGTGAAAGGAGAAGTTCTGATTTAATCATAGAGAAAACCACTCTTCACAGTCAACAAAGGCACTCACATGATTAGATTGACTGAGGGATGTCCATTTCTTTCCCACTTATTTACTGTTGCTAAGGTATTCGATCAAGTCTGATCTTTAGCATTCCATCAAAGACCATTAAATATTTTTAATTAGATACTTAAAAATAAATTTGAATACTCTATTTCAAATTGTATGTGTTTTGCTGACAGTTGCTTTCAGTTTTGAATAGGAACATGTCAAACCTTTAAATATCCTATAGCTCAGAGGCACCTGGCTGGAAATGATGATGTTCCTTTTCTGCACCACAAAGTTTAGGGGATTTAAAAAAAAAATTCTGTAGAAGAGATGTTCTTACAAAACACATGTCAGATGCTCCTGAAATCTCCTTTTTTTTTTTTTCTTTTTTGTCAGTGTACTAAAAAATATATTGAGCTGGGTGTGGTGGGGCATGCCTGTAACCTCAGCAGCTTGGGAGGCTGAGGCAGGAGGACTGCAAGTTCAAAGCCAGCCTCAGCACTGGCGAGGTGCTAAGCAACTCAGTGAGACCCTGTCTCTAAATAAAATACAAAAGAGGCCTGGGGACATGGCTTGAGTGCCCCTGAGTTCAGTCTCTGATACTCCCCTCCCCCAAAATATGTTGAATAGAACTCAACAACAAATCCCAGCATATTCCATACTTTTAGGGACGGTGGAGACAGAACATTACACTGTGTGCAGGGCCCTCTTCACATGGAGGGAGCGGTGGTTAGTGGGGGTTGTCAGTTTAGCTGGATTAAGGGATGCCCAGGATTCAGAGACTTGTGGGTGTGTTGATAAGGAGGTTTCCAGAGGCGACTGGCACATGGGACAGCAAACTGAGTGGGACACCCACCCTGAATGTGGGTGACACCATCCAATGAGCTGGGGACCCTGATGGGAAGAAGGTGGCAGAAGGAGGAGCCCACACAGACACAAGCTCCGTTCTCCCTGAGCCGGCGCTTGGGTTGCTTCTGCAATCCACCAGAGGACGTGGGACTGCGGCTCCTTGATTCTTCCAAAGCAGACTGACCAGCGAGTCTTCAGGGAGTTTCTGGACTTCAGACTGGGGCTCCATCATCGATCTCCTTCCTTCTAGGACTGGGCAGCTACTGGTCCCTCCGTCTCTCCAGCCTGTTGTGGAGTATCTGTCTTGGGGTTTTGAAAGTCACTCTAATGAATCCCTTTTTCATAAACACACACACATATGATTATATCACACATATGTATACATACATAAACATACATATAATATATATAATATGTGTACATATATAACCTGTTGGTTCTGTTCCAAAGCATTGTCCAGGAGGTGCTAATAGCCTTGATCTTGATGGTCTATTATTTTTAGGTGTAAGGGCTGCTATATTCTCTTATGCAAAATTATTCCCTTGATCTCTTAATCATCAAAGAAGTCTCAACGGTGCTTTTCTAGAGGTCCTACTCAGTGCATATTAACAGGCTGTAGGAGGACCTATAGTTATTTCTCACAATCAGACCAGGGCAGTCTTACTCACAGCTTTCTCTCAGGGCTCAAAATTCTACACAGGCAATGGGCAGCCATTCTCTACCCTTCCCTCTTTCCCGTGGGGACTCGGCAGCTCTGCTTATCAGACAGTGGCATCTGGTTTCCTTGATCCTGGGTGTGGCCTGGCTTGTGACTTGCACTGGCTCTAAGAGCACAGCAGGTGTGCAGTGTAGCAGGCCTGGGCCTGGGCCTGCAGAGACCAGCAGATGTCTGTCACTCGCGCTCCCCCACTTCACCACGGGGCCAGGACCAGGACAGCCTGTTGCAGGTGAGAGACCATGAGCACTAGAGTCGAACCGTCCCAGCCCAGGCCAGCGGAGACGGCCCGTCCCCAGCCACCCTGCCAGCGGACTGCAGGCTCCTGAGCCAGGCAAACTGAGAACACGGGGCCTGGCCCATCAGAGTGCCACCCGCCTAACAACTGACAAACGGGGTGTTGTTAAGGCGCTGGATTTGGGGCATTTTGTTATCAACAAAATGCTAATTGATACAATACACATTTGGTAAATGTAGCTAATACTCTGTTGAATTTTCCATTCAGCGCACCAAGGAGGCTGGGCTTCTCCAGAGTGTGGCCCTGTCCCTTCCTGTGGGACTGTCCTCTCTAGTCCCTGCTGGGCCCTGCTCTCTGCTTAGCAAGGGCATCGATGGCTTCATAAGCACCGAACATCATCTGCTTTCTGCTCTTCATTACCAATACAGAAAAACAAACCTAAGGAGAGTCTTCCTAGTGCAAGAAAGAACGGAACATCGCAAGTTCCCAGGGCCACACCAACCCCACACAGCAGACACAACGCGAGAGGTGACTCCACCCGGGGACCCTGTGTGGCATGAACGTGAGTCCTCATCCTCACGGTTGTCCCGGGCAAGCCCTGAAGTGCCGAGCATAGGGGAGCACAGGCTAAATGTGTGGAATGGAGCCGGATTAGAAGAGGAGACGCTCCTGCTAATTCTGGACTTGCTTCCTACGCGTGCCAGCTCCCTGCTGTTGGACCTCGGCCCCGCCAGTCTTCCCCTCTGAACGTGTTTCTTCTTCTGTGAAATAGGAGTAATCATGTGCTCTTCTTACCTCATACGTCATTGCAAGGATTAAACTAGATGGCACGTGTGAAAATGCTTGTACACTCCAAAGAACCACGTGAGGCATCGTAAGCGCTGTGAGGATTGCTACTATTTTGAGCCCACAGTGGGAGACTGGACCTGGGAGAAATGGCAGATGGCCCGGGGTTGTGGGGCAGGAGGCTGACTTGTTTGCTTATCAGTGGAAAACACACTCTGACTCATATCAGAAAAGAAGCCTGGCAAACATTAAAAAAGAAAAAAATTTGGAGAAAGCCAATGAGCCCACAGTTGGAATTTTGGACTGGGGTTTAGAAACATGAGTACAGGAGGCTGACAACATTGGATGGAGTCCAGGAGAAGCAGCAGTCCCTCCAGAACAGAAGGTCCCATTCGCAAAGGAGTCAGCACGAAACATGTGGGTCTGGCTCCCAGGACGTTGCACTTGTTGGCCAAAGTTCTTCTGTAACCAAATGCACGAGGTTCCCTCCTCATGAGCATAAGGCTGAAGCACAACCAGGAGACCAGAGTGAAGCTAGGCTTACGGCTCGCAGAGGGTACTGCCCCTCAGAGGAAGCAAGAGGCTCTTCACTGGGGAGGTCATACGTATTCATGTGTGACAACCTGTTACCACCTGTAGGGCAGGCACAGTCATGAGCATGCTCAGTGGAGATCACTTGTCACACGATCAAAAATAAATGGTGGGTGGAAGCAACGCTGTGTGGAGAGTTTTGTATTATAAAGAGCAAACTTTATTCTTGGTCACCTGGAGAGAGTGAGTCAGAGTGACGAGGCGATTTTGGCTGGTTCCTTGGAATTCTCTCTGGAAGGCTTTAATGGAAACACAACACAGCACAAATCAGAACAGCATTGATAATCATTTAAAAGGGCAGTAGCTTTCCACCCCACATGCACAGAGGACTGTCCCTGAAGCACTTGCCTACCAGCCACCGTGTCCAAGAGGAAGATGCTTCAGGACTATGTGACATGCTCTGGTGGTAAAGTTCACAGGGCCCTGCACAGGACCCCCCAACTCTACCCCAAGTCTGGGTGAAGAAAACAGTAAGAAATACACCAGACAAAGAGGAGCCCAAGATTTTCATGTGAGCCAGTATTTCTAGCAGTTAGGATGCTTTGGGCTGTAAGTAACAGACAAGAAAACAAAGACCTCATCAGGGATGAGGCCATTCATTCTTCCCTTATGAGAAGTCCTGAGGCAGGTATGTACTAGGATTGCTAATTCATCAGTTTAACAAAATCATCTAGGTCCGAATCCATTCTGTATCCCCTTTCTGTGGGGCTGGGTGGGTGATTTGGTTTATCCTTTTAGGCTGGCTACTGGCCTACATAGGTGGCTGCTACAATTCCAGGCAGACCGTGCAGATGACAATATCTATATAGATGACAACTCATCAGTCCCTTTTTAAGATCAAGGGATAATTTCCCTGATGTTCCACAGTGGATTTCCTCCCCTTGTATTTATGCACGACTGCATCTCTTCCTAAGCTGGATTAGTCAGGATATATATCAATCACAAAGAATTGGCTCACACAATTATGGAGGCTGAGATGTCCCAAGATCTGTAGTTCTAAGGCCTGGGATCTAGGAGAGCTAATGGTGTGATTTCTAGTGCAAGTGATTTCTAGGCAGGGAAGACCACTATCCCAGCTCAAAAACATACTCTCTCTTGTTCAACCTGTTGTTCTAGCCAGGCATCAGCAGATTGCACGAGGTCCATCTGCATTGGGAGGGGCCGTCTGCTTCACTCAATCTACAGATTCAGATGCTAACCTTACCCAGAAACACCCTTGTAGACATACCCAGAAATGATGATCAACCAAACATCTGGACACCCCTTGACCCATTTAAGTTGATGCATAAAATTAACCATCACACAAGACTGATATCAGTCACAAGTGACTGTCAGACTAATCAAGATCCATGCTGGGACTTGAGAGGGAAGCCAGCCTCTGGAAACACAGGCCTTCCAATTCCTGAACACAGCTGGGATTCTGCTGTCAGGTAAAGAGGGGAAGAACTGCTTATTATAATAAGGGTAGCTGCATCCCTCTGCCCCTTATGACTCTTAGACGAGGCACCCCAAATGCAATACATAACAGATACTATTAGTGCCATTGCCGTAGCTGACACTTGTTGGGCAATTATGTCTACATCTGGTGCAGAGGTAATGTCCAGGAAGATGACACTGCGGAGCTGTCATCTCATTCAATCATCTCAGCTGCCTGGAGCTCCAAGTCATCGACTTTTCTTGTTCAGGGAGGAGAGAGGAGAGTTTAGTAACTGAATGTCCTTGGAAGAGTCCAAGGTGAATCTTCCTTATACCAAACGTCTCTGTATAAATAACTGTTTGCTATGCTTCAGTTGAATTCCTATTTTTCTTTTCTTTCTAGTTGTTAACCTCACCTATCACCACCATGATTTCTACCTGGGTTGGTTTCTTAGATTGTGTCTTTAGCATAGGTGCCCAGAACTTCAGGAGTCAAGTGATGTGAAAATCAGCCCAGAGGGAAAACCCTTTGAAGTTCCATGGTTATTTTTTTATTTTTTATTTTTTTGATTTTTTGAACACATAGTTCTGCAACAAAGTTGCAAGCAATACTGAAATTCTGTGAAACACAAGTTTGCTTTCCACTCTGGACCCTGCCCAGATCAACTCACCCATTAATCCCCTCCTGTTTATTAATGAGCTATTACTATGCCAAGGTGCAGGCTAGTTTCAGGCTGGCTCTTGGAGTTCTATGCAGTTGTCTCTGGTTCTTTCCATCTCACACCTCCAACACCACCAGCGGCTGAGTGCCAACCAGCCGTCTTCACAAAACCTTTGACCTCTTCATTCCCTGTCCACAGCTGATAATCTTGGATCCATTGTGCCAGCCTCTATTGGTCTTACTGACTTCATTGCCTCCTTCTTGGTCTTTCTTCCATCTTCTGTAAGAATGTTTCTTGCACAGATTATGTTATGGGCTGAACTGTGTCCTCCCACCGCATCTTCTTGTTGAAGTTCTACCCAGAACCATATAATGGGACTGTATTTGGACATGGATCTCATGAAGTTTAAATGAGGTGTTTAGGGAAGATTCTAATCCAATATGGCTGGATCAAAAAGAGAATAGGACAGACATTTGCAGAGGAAAGACCTTGTAAAGACACAGAAAGAAGATAGCCATCGGCAAGACAAGGTAAGGCTGCAAAAGAAACTAACCCTTCTGACACTCTGATGTTAAACATTTTTAGACTCCAGAAATGGGGGAAAACAAATGTCTAATGTCTAAATTTTCCAGTTGGTATCACTTTGTTATAGCAGCCCTACCAAACTCATACTGTCTACCTATAACAAAGTCACTCATTGAAAGGACACTTGTTTCTTAACAGAGAGGCCAATTTCTCATCAGGTCTCTCAGGGCCCTGCTGCTCTGACACTAGCCTGCCTTTCTATCTTCTCTGCCTCTTGTTCATGCTCCTTGCTCTAGTGGCCCCCAAACAGACTTTTAATTCAGCAGACTCGGCTGTGCTTCCCTGCCTTAGTGCCTTTGCACAGGATCTTCCCTCTACATAAAACAGTTCTGCATTTCCAGACACAATCTCCCATTCCTATGTTCTGAAATCACATGGATCCCTCTGACTTTGGTGCCAATTCCTTTATAACTCCATATGCTCTAGCAAAGCCACAATCAAGCAGAATCGCTCTTTCACCTCCTCTGAAGCACTTTGTAAAATTCCACCACAGCCTCGAACCTGCCTAGTGTTCCACTTTGGCATGGACCAACAGCTTCCTGTTTTCTGTGATTCTCTAACTAAGTTCTTCATCCTATCTGTCTTTTAGCCTATGTCTAGGAAGGGCTAGATGCAGTGTATTTTCACAAGCGTGTGTGGAACTGAAAGGGCGGGCTGGATTGGAAAATAGAATCCAAAATAGGGCCCCAAAGGAGAATAATATCCATAGAAAATAGGAACTAGAAACAGGGATTCAAATGGCATTATCTGGTGTGACCTGGAGAAAGATGGAAAGGCCGGGAGAAGACAGCCTTAGCTGCCTCCCCAGCCCTGCAGCTACATCGAGAGGATACCTGTCTAGGGTAGAATTTTGGCTGAATATTCTGGAATGTTTTCTGATCCCTGGAGGTAACTCAACAGGAGTTTCACCTTGGAAAGCTGCCTGGTCATCAGGAGTTGGTGGGTGTGTGTGGGTGGGGGGGTATGCTTTCTTTCTTTCTTTTTTTTGCTCTAGAGACTGAACCCAAGGTGCATCTCACTAAGTTGTTGGGGGTGGCCTTGAACCTTGCAATCCTCCTGCCTCAGCCTCCTGAGTAGATGGGATTATAGGTGTGCATCACCACACACAGCTGGATGGAGGGGTTTCTAAAATCCTTTCGCTCTGTAATTTATTTGTTTTTGAAGTGTCTTATTAGAGGTAAGCAGGCTTTTGAATGTGAACCCATACTTCTAAAAACCATCTGCTATGCAGAAATCATTAATAAATTCTAAGTGTGGTTTTGCTCAGATCTGCTGCAAGGTGATCAAAGCAAAGTGGCTTATATAATATCTCCTTCCCCATTTGCTCCTTTGGCTGTCATTTGGGTGAGGAACCCAATTAAAGATAAAACATAAGAAAAACAAGAAGCACAAAAATGCTACTTCTCTCCCAAACTCTTGCAAAATCAGGGAAAAAAAGAAAAAAAAAACTTTCTTCTCATTTCTGCAAAAGAAAAATGAGATCGGAAACTCTGAGCCATGTAGAATCCAGCAGGGCCGATTTTTTCCCCTAGTGAGCCTTAAGGCAGCAAGAATTTGTCCCTTGCTTTTCTTTCTCTTTCTGTCTTCCCTCATCTGTCCCTGAGTGAGGCTTGCTGTCGGGGACTGAGCAGGTTCTCTCAGGCTCCCTGAGCTCCCCAACGCACAGCATATTAGAATGCAGGAGAAGTTGTGCGGGAAGGGAAAGGGGCCACGCAGCGGCATCAACATTCACTGGGGACAAGGAGGCTGGCGTCCTCGGGATGCTGCATTCTGCGGCTCAGTGGAGAGGAGCATTTGGCATCGTGTCCCCGGGGTCTGCCTGACAGTGTGTCCAGTTCTCTGGCTCCTTTCAGGGGCTGCCCTGGTATCTGCTGTCAAGGCCGTGAGTTTTCTGGAGAGTTGGAGGCACCAGGACAGGGTGGAGTCAGGATCTGCAGTCGCACAGGGATGGGGCAGGGGCCTCCCGGCTGCGAAGGGCCCTGGGTCCCAAAAGGTCTTTTATGGATGCCCAGTGACTTCAGTTGGGTTCCCCAGATGAAGCATGGGACAGGCGGCCTGTGCCAGGGATTGAAGAAGCCATTGTTCTGAGAAGGGAGGGGGCTGAGGAGAGGTACTGCTGGGGGTGGGGCTAAGTGGAGGGGGACTCCCTGGGTCTGCCCCCGCTGGGTCCCAAAGGAGCGCCACAAGGTGGACCGTACCACACCCATGGTCCCCTCTTGTATCTCCATGTTTGGTCATTTGTCACTGGCCACGGAGGTACCGAGGTGGGTCTTCCCACCAGGACAAGAGGAACAGTCCCCAGAGTGAAGGAGAAGCTGCATTCATCTACTCGAGGGCTGTCAGCACAAAGCTCCTCCAGGATGCTTGGGACGAGCCGTGTGGAGGGTTTTGGATATTTTTGAAAATTTTGAAAGACTAGTATGTATGTCATAAGAAATCTGGAGATGGGATTCGAGACCA